AATATGACAACGAAGCCTAAGTTTAAATATAGTGAAAAAAATCTTCAAAAGGCTCTCGATGCAAGAAGTAGGGGTTTATCTTATGTAAAAGCAGCCAAGATGTTTAATGTACCAAAGTCAACTCTTATTTATAAAGAAAAAGGAAAAACACCAATGCAGAGGAAAATGGACCCATCAGCGTTTTTAAATTCTGATGAAGAAAAACTACTGGTTGAATGGTTGTTTCATTCAGCAGATAGGGATTTTCCTGTTACAAAAACCCAGTTGGAAAACACAAAATTTGGGTGAAAAGTTAAGTCAATAACATTTTGCTCCTGTTTTAAAAGATGTTCTTAACCACTTAAGCATCTCGAACGAGACCCTCTCGCGCATCTAATGTACCACTTATAAATATTATGTTTATATTTTTATCTGGGGCGATACCTTCTCGCCCGTTTGTATTTCATACAGCTTAGTGTATATTTATTGTATGCTCGTTCGAATTCAGTGCGTGCGCCAGTATTATATTAAGAATCGGTCAAACATTTACGGTTTTAAGGTCAAAGACTAGATATTATTGGTCAAGTAATGTAATCAAAGTGGTCAAACACTAAATGCGAAATACTGTTTTAATTTTTAATTTTAAAAAAATATTACTTCATGATGTTATATTTTATATGTAGGGTAAGTAACTTTAAATGAATCAGATGAGTATTTGATCATATTTTGATCATTTTATGTAAAGGCAGAAGGATCTACAAGAAAAATAATATGGCTCGGTCAAACACTGAAATTAAAAAATCCTTAACAGGTCAAACACTGGTGTATTTACCCTACTAAGTTTTGAAAATGATTTATTTACGCATATAAACCAGGAAATGTGTGAATTTCATCAACGATTTTAGTTATGTTCCTCCCTCGTAACTATGGGGGAGATCTGCTGCGGTCCCCAATTTATAACTTTTGCGGAGCACCGAGAGCTGACCCTGCGGCGGAAGAGTTAATTTTTGAAATTACGGCTTTTTTGCGTCGCGTCCCCGGGTCGTGAGCGAACGGGCGAGCTGTAGTAGCACGGGTGCTGCGCACGTTCATTAATTTACACGCGTCCTGGTGGACCCGATAGCAGTATTGATACCGGTACATGGATCGCTAATGAAACACGGCCCTGCAATCAGCTGTCCCGAGGTTTCCCCGGGGGTAGGCGTGGACACGGCCCTCCGGTGCATCGGCGAGATGGTTCCTTCCGTTTCGCTCCCCTCATGTTGGATAAATTTGGGTTATGGGCTGTCCTAATTATATTCCAACTAATTGTTCAGAAAGATCCATTAAATGTTTAGTTAGTATTATTTTTAAAAAATAATTCCATGATAAATTATTTCTCTGCGTTCCCTCTTGTATTTCGTTTTGGCATGGATTGAAAATGGATATGCTAACCGTACGGTAGCGTTAAGACGTCGCCGGCGGGCCGGAATTGGAAATTTAAGGTCGAAATTACCGCTAAATTAATTAGGGAAGAAAGAAATTAACAATCCCTAAATCAGGTTTAAGTGGCACTTTGCGAGATTTACCGGGATCGTTAGGCGGTGAGGCGGGAGAGTGCGGGGGCGGCGGAGGGTTCGCAAAGTGTCACGCGTGTCTGGCGGACGGAGACCGCGGTAAGCCGCCGTCAGCGGCCCCCGGGTGGTCCGCGCTCTCTGGTAGCGCCTCGCCTCGCCCTGTCCGAATGGACGCACGCACGCATGCACATTATCGCTGAAGTACGTGAGCCGTTACGAACGCCGGTGTGCACGCATATATGTAGCGTCCTTCCGAAGAACTTCTAATTTATTAACCGAATCGGACAGAAATTCCATTCGGCGAACTTCCAACATGGTTAGATGATTAACTAAAAGCACGTTGATTAGACGGTTTCGAGTAAGATATCAATGCGTTAAAGCGAATTAGGTTTTATAAAAAGAATTATTTAGATTGTCAGATATGCGCAAGTAAAAATAAAAATAAATCAGTCCATAGTATCAATAACAAAATCGACTAGCGGTTTTTTACATTAATATTAATATTCTCATTACTGGCACACAGGGCGAAAGCAAATCCACTCAGGGGCGTCCTCCCAATTACCACGGGATTTATCGCTACAATCAAATTCTACATAATTATAAAGTAAATACATAAATCTTTGGACGATGAACGCCCAGTGTAGAAGCTCAGCAAAGTTGTTGGCTGTGCAGAGTTTACAAAGTATTCGGGTTAAGCAAGATTCCCTTTTCACTACCGAAAAAGGATTATAACTCTTTAGGTAGTGTGTTGGCAGCAAAGAATTTTAATAAATTTACCGCTTCATATGGAAAATTTGATTTAGCTTCAGCGTAAGCATTCTTTATCCACTAAGAGAAATTCATAAATAATCTTAATTACTTCTACAATGTATCAAGATCTTTGTATTATATATTCGTCGGTTTAACGGTAGGGCTATAACCGGTAGTTCGAAATAGCCCGCACTAAATAGATTTTAATTACGATCAATAATATATTATCTTAATTACGAGCCGAATGGTAAGGGGGCCCGGACATAGGTGGGCGATCACCCGGAGCTGATATATCGCCTTTTTTTTCGGACGTAAGGGACACCGCCGCCGACGGGTCAGGCGAAAAAAAAACGACCCGAATTTATTTTATTCGACCCCTGTGTGTGATTCATTAGCCCGGTCCGTGCACTTAACGACTCGGTTTAGCGAATTAACGGCTCGCGGCTTCCCCAGGCTCTAAACAAATATAATTTAGCCCTTCGGTCCCGATAAATATGGACCCCGGTCCACATTCGAGAAGGCATAAATCCACGAATTACGTTTAACACGATCTTGTGCATAGGTAATGAAATATATTCGAGTCCATGTCGAAACATAAATTTACGACAACCGCAACAGAAAGAGATATTGAAGAACTTAAGAGACCTTTCTTTGAATTAATCAAAAATACACGTTTTATGTTTCCAATTATGCCCTAACACGGCACGTATTTCTTTCGATAAGGAGCCAACACCGGTAGCTGAAAACGATATATAAATTAGTTTAATAATATAGTATATTTTAAATCTATTGTTATCAATCTGTTTTTGTGTTCAGGTAAGTTGAAAGCCTCATTTGCTAGCATTTAGCGAGCCCGCCCTCTTTTAAACCGATCTCCAACGGACACTCTGTTTACAGTCCTATTGTTTTAAGTCGTTTCAAGATAGATAATAATCTCGAAGTCCGTTTTTGGAAGCCAGGTAAGATGTCGCGATTGATACGTCTCCCATTTCACTTTTTGTACGTCTCCCGATTGGTATCTGAGTATATTTGGCGCCTACTGCATTTTTCTTATAGTTAGCTAATAGTTTGCTAAGAGGTAAGGTAAAACATATACGGGTGGTGCACGCGTACGGGTACTTCTTTGTGAGAGCGAGCAGTTGCAGAGTCATTCCATTAGACGCCGGCCAACAACTCTTGATCTTGTCTCGGATAGCTGAATACATAATCTCCTTGGTCTGGTGCAGATTAGGCCTCCACTAGGCAATTTGTTATTCTACGATGACTTTTGTATGGAGACTGGAGAAGCTATTGATGGCGCGGTAATGGAAACCGAACGACCAATTGGATAATAGATACGTCTATTAACGCGTACTTGCTCATTGTTTATTTTTAGCTGGGTGTGTTATTAGTTGGTAGACAGTCACGTAATTAGCAAGACACGTGCCGTCTAAAGATTAATTGAAACCTAACCTTTGTTATTCGTTAGATAATATCGCAGTATGATAATTACTTACTATTCTAAGCTTCGTTAAGCTTGCGTAGAACAATATTCTTGTATTATAAAACGTATCCACATGTTTAGGATCAATTTAGTTTCCAAGTCAGGTAAATCCTACGAAACAAAGAATTGTCAGAAATAGTAACGAACAATTTCCAAGTTAATCTGAAGAAGGAATAATGATACTTTGTATTTGTTTTGCAGACAACGTCGTTCCAAATGTGGTGAAATTTTTTGTAGAATCTTCCGTTTCGAGAGGATGTAAGATTTACTAAGAACCATTACTCCCGTAACACGTGGCTTTCATCGAATGTATACGTTTTATTCAAATAGTAAGTTTAACAGGATGTTGTTAGTCTGCGCAGATAGCAGTTCCGTAATAATCTAATTAGCAAAACACGAACACTTCCTAGTGTTCCCGGGTGACAGGCAAAACCATTAATTTAATCGATATCCCCGCGTCCGTCCATCGCATAATATATCTCCTAAGTGCGGTACACACTCGCTCTACATACTAATAAGGAGCGCGATGGTCGTAGTGGTTATTTAATACACACAACGTTGGAGGATAGAGGTCCTCGGCAAAAAGATGCGCCATTCGTAAGCCATTTTCACACGTTGAAGAACCGGTCCGTTAGCGTATCAGGTGACAAAATTATCTCCAACACAGGTAGCTTAAACTCTTAAACGTCGCAGTGCGAATTTGCATATAAGATACGCGGTACCGTATACGCAAGTGTCATACGCTCAAGCTCGACTCGGCCGTATTCTAATTAGAGTTAAGTAGCCGGCCAGTTCGTAAATTACCTCGTCGACCAGTCCCCCAGGATAACTCGCTTCTGTGCGTTTCAACCATGCGACCATCCGACATGGCTATCGGATAGCCATGTCATTTAAATGCTTGCTTTTTCGAACCCGTTATTTTACCAAAACGAAAATCAATAAAATTAAAAACAAAACGATTTTTAGGCATTAAAGCTACATCGCATCAAATGCAAAAATATAAAACAAGACCGTAAAGTTTGCTAGTTTTAGGGTAACTACCGGATTTAAGAGAACGTAAACTTTTATGGTGTTTTAAAATTTATCGAAATTTCAATAACACAACCTTTAAAAAAGCTGTTAAAAGTTTTGCGATTCTTAAGAACCACAAAAAAAAATCAAGGAAGTAAATCTCAACATAATTCGAGTTCTTTTCGGTTTATCTATCTTATTGTTAGAGCTTTGTAACTTACCTTGAGCTTGACGAATCGCGGTTCCTCGGAGGCCAGCTTCACGAGGAGGTGATAGTCTCCCTTTGCGGCCGTCACGTACCATTCGGCCCTCCTCTTCGGCTCGAGCTGAAACGGCGTATATTCTCTATTTTACGACTTGTCGGCCCGTCCTCATTCGATACTGATTGACGCTAACCGCTTTTTTGCGCCGGCAATAAAGAGCGATAAAAACGGGTCGCCGGCGTCGGTGCGGCGACACGTCCATCGTCTCCTTTTCTTAGGTAAAAGGAGGTTAGGAGAGAGGTAACCGGGATCGTCGCCGCCGCGAAGACATACAATGGGTGGAACATCCCCGTTTATGGGTTTCTGGACGAAGAAGGAAAGCGAAATTAATTTGAAATGGCAGAAAGGAAGTCGAGTAAATGTCGTAGAGGAATTGATGGAAAACCGGTGAGCATAGAATCGAAGTGAGTTCAAGAGGAAATCTAAGTAATGTAAATGTTGATAGGGGTTGGGTTGAGTTGATTAGTTGCTGCGCCAATCAGTATTGAACTCTTGCATTGGAGTTGTAGTACTTCATCAATACTTGGGATCGAGCCGGGAAGATGTCTGAGGATAGGATACTTACCAGCATGACCGCAGCGCCGTCATCCTCGTCGACCCCCTGCAGACAAACACAGTACTAAACAAAAGGGCACGGTGTATAAATTAGCGGGCGCCAGGCGATAACATCGCCAACTTAAACGGCCCAGTCACGCCGTTTTTATTAACGAATTACACGAGACGTCCAGGTAATTTGTCTGTCGCTGCGGTAATGGATTTTATAGCGTCACCGACGGGTCCGAGATCGGCCGCGCCCCGTTTCGGGGCTCCGCGGACAGACGGCTGTTCGGTCGGAAATCACTTGTAACCCTGACTTATATAATCGCCGAGACGGTAATGACTTGATTAATGCCAAACTAGACGGCCGGCTCGGTCCATTGTCCGACCGATTGGCCGGATTGTGGTGGTCCCGACCACGTTTAGTTTAATCGAGATCGTAAATCGAACAGGTCCCCCCCGTACGTGTACCCAACTGGCACACACTTCCTTTGGTTAGAAAGTACAATTATCTAAATCAATTACTTGGTTAGTTAATTGGGTTTCTATGCATATTCAATTTTAAGTGAAAAGTTTATTTTTAAATTATATCTTACTAAATTTCTACAACGAAATCAAATCAACTCGAGTGGCCTATACTAAACATTCTCACCTTTCTATGTGGTATTAACTAAAAACATTTGTAAAATGTAGTATAGATTTATAAACCATTAACAAGTTTTGTCACTACAACTAATCGAGTTTTTCATATATCCAGTTTATGGTAACATACTTACATACATACACACACAGGTCTATTACTATAAATACTCAAAAAGAATTCAGGTGCAGTTGAAATCCAGTAATATAGAAGTTTGCACAATTATTTTCTCTTTATATAGTTCCTAAATGCGGAAGTAAAGAAAAAACAAGTTCTTTAATTATTAATCGGAATTATCGCGTCACTAATCTTTCATCTAAACTACCAATTTAAAATTGGTCTTGTGATATAATCGCATATTATGTAGTTAATATAATTGATTCAATTAGCATAACAATGACTAGCCAGGTGGCTCCACATTCAGCCTATCATGACAGCAATTTATTTAAGGCAAGAAATAATAACAGAGTCACAACTAGAAATCTGTTGGCTCAACAAATGAATGGGATCAATAGAAACGAACTATAACAAGAAAACTCCTAAGACTGTTAGTCACGAAGCAGATATTATGAACAACCTCAGCAGCTCTCAAATGATTAAAATTCCAGGTGAAAGATTCAATATTGACTGTATGGTTACATAAGTGGCTTTTAATGGAGAGTTGATAAAACAAAAAGTTGACAAAACCGATATAGATCGGGGGATTCCGACCGCCTAATTGGAATAATAAATCAAGTCTTACTGAAGAAGTTAGTGAACACAGAAAGAAGATAAAGATGAACCAGGTAAAGATTGGAAGTAGTTATTGCTATACATGAGCTAAAAATCGTTAACTGTTATTGCGGGGCTGGGTATGGTTGATTTAAACATAAACCTATTGTGGTAAGGTGACTGCAGAAATCAGATACTATGATTCTATTTTTATTTAAGAAAGTTTGTAATCCGGATGTGTACCATATTTTTGGAAAAAGAATTCGATAATCCTTTAAACAGTAAACTAACAAAAATCTTTTTTTCAAAGAATCAAATCGATTTTCATAAGCTACAAGAAGTAAAAGCTGTGAAGACCTTGGTTGATAGCTGCAAAAACAAAATTAACACACGTGACCATGTAAACAACTGCCTCCTTGATCGGAATGCTACTGGCGTAATATGCAATAAAAAAGGTTCGGTAACTTATCCATTTCTGCACTTCAGAACAAAATGATTGTGCTGAACGAGTAAAGTGAGAACAGTAAATTACACTGAAATAATAATTATTTCATATTATATATCCCATGACACCTCACATTTTACACATCCTAATAATATCACATTCATTTGTCTCGCCACCCATTTCATTACCCGAGTTCATGTACTATATTACACTCATATACTAGTAACTCATATACTATTATTGCATCATTACTCACAGTAAACTACACGATTTTTTAAGTTACCATCAATGTATTTCTTACTTTCTTAATCTCTAAATGTAAGTCATTTGGTTGTTTAGCTGGATTTATAGTAGGGGAATACGTTGTACATTGGATCGAATGTGCCTTGGACAGGTAGTAATTTTACTTATAAAACAAGAATCTACAAACTTAATTAATATTTAGTCCACTTGAAGGTTTGGAATTCCCATTATTTTTAACGTTTTTAGTATCATAAAGTAAATTTTTATGCTTGATTAAAGTATTTGGAATCTACATTAAGAGCTGAGTTAAAAATTTTTGGTCAGGTAAGTTCTGTGTTCAGTTCTCTTTGATTTAAAACCAACGGAGATGCTTGTAAACATAATCTAATAAAACAGGAACAAGTTTTGAAAAATGTTACCAAGTGTGTACCTTAGACCAATAACATATTTGTACTGTGGACCAGTCCAAGGTACATCTAACAAACGTGTACCTTATTACTTAACTAATTACAACCAAGCTTCAAACCAATGGTTGAAAATAATGCAGGCAAACCTATTGGAATTTACGATGCTTCCGAAATAAGCGGTATTGCTTTTGCGAAAGCTTTTACAATTAAAAATTCAAAAAGAATTCCTAAGAAAAAAAAAAAGACCTAAGGAAGCAAAAAACGAGTTGTGTCAACCGTCCACAAGTCAACACACTCTCGAACTCTTACCTGTTAACGATGAAGGTATCCAAGTCAGAAGTAATGAAGAAGAATCCATGAACGAATCTGTCGATAACGGAGGAATTTATCAAGTAATTTATGTAAAAAAAAATCAATCGATTGCCAACGAGCATTTCTTGATATCTCCCAAAGTAATTAGACCATTCTCTAAAGCAGCTCCCAGAAAGAAACAAAACAGAGATAGAAGAAAGGGAAGAATAATCAAAATTAATTAAAGCAAAAATGATGTTAAAGGAAGTTGAACAGAATAAAAAAATTGCTAAAAAAATGTTAAAAGAAAAATTGCTAGAGAAGCAGTAAAATTCAAAAAAGTTTTAAAGATAAACAAGAAAGAACGTAGTGAAGAGGAAAGTTACGAAAATATTCAGCTTTGTCAGTCTTCATCAGATGAAAGTCGTAAACAACTGCTCTATTCAAGAAAAAGATTATGTACTAGTACAACTAGCAACTGAAAAGTCGAAAAAACATTTTGTGGCCAGAATAGTTAATAAAATTGATGAAGGGTACAACGTGCAATTTCACAAAAAAATAGTTGGCACAAAAGCAGCTCGAAACTTTGTTCTCAATGATGAAGATGTTTCTTTTGTTGATAGTAATAGTGTACTGGTTCGTTTTCCCACTCCTTTTGTATTGACTTCAGTCAATACAATGTTTTGTAATTAAAAATATATCTATGAAATACTTTCAAAGATTATTTCTATCCTGTTGATAATTTATTATCTATTTATTATTGTTAATAATAGTATAGATAAATAAAATTAGGTGTAGTTACTAATTGGTCCAAGGTACATTCAACGTTGGTTCAAGGTACAATCCTGTATTGTACCTTGGATCAATTCACATTTTTCCTTTTGAAGAATTTTTGTAATTTGCGATTGCGACTATAAAATTTTATCAGTTTAAGCATTACAGAATCGATTTAAACCAAGACATTTAATTAATAACTAAAAAATTTTGAAATATTAGCTTTAGAAATAAAATGGTCCAAGGTACAACACATTCCCGTAATGTTCCCATTTCTTGTAGCGTACCCTAAAGAAGATTATAATAAGTATCGAAAGCTTGGTTCAATTAAAGGAGGTTTTCAATTCCTTCCCATTTTTGGTTGATTTTCCAATAATTAAACTTAATTCTTAACGTTGTACAACCAATACTTCCACCCTCTTATTAAATTACGCCTCAAGTCACAGTATATGTTTTTATCTGATAAATATTTTTTCGAAACCTATTAACTCAAAACTATTCCATATCAAACAAATAACATATTACAAATTGTTATGATATGTTGTTATGAACACGGAAATATAAGCTTTTAAAGTATCATACTCATTTTACTGCTAAATATCATATCATAATTAAATCATATCTTATCGTAACTAAACACCGCAGCCATCATACCACACCGTATTATCTTAGGGCAAATGATATTAAATATATTTAACATATATCACTATAAATAAGATGATAACTTATATCATACCGATTTTACTCACGTCAGATATTATTCATCATATCTCAACGCAATATACGATTACCACAGTTCATATACTATATTATATCATTATCATAATATTAATATAAGCACAGCCAATATCATGTAATATATGCATCATATCTTTCATTTCCACAACTCATACTATAAGTGACATTAAATTTCATCAAAGTTATCTTTCAGGCTACTTATTGTATTATATTATAAAGTTACCATATTCACACACAGGCATGCCAAGCTTAATCGAAATTATTTAGGAAGTCACAGAAGTATGGATGAATCAAAACCTCGTGGTCAAAATTTTCTATGATAATACAATACTTTCTATTTATATACTTCCTTCATCTGTGCAAGAAAGTAAAAAAATTGTCATTTATATGACATCCTTATATTTTGATTGAATTATTTTCGTCGTACATACATTCCCGAAAGGAGTAAATTAGAGCTGACACGAGAATCCACATACTTCATACATACACGAATATTAATAGAGGCGCGAGTAGATCCCTCAAACGCCCGAGTGCATTTGCTAAAGTACGGCGCTCACCATAAATTCTGAGGTGATATAAAAAAGTCGCTATATATTGCTCATTAACTGCGTGTTTTGACGCGTCCCGTATTTATGGTCGAGTTTTTTCTTCGCGCGCTCGCCGGTGCTCGTACATCATGTCCGTCCACTCGTCCGCGCAATTGATTTATTCACGATAATTACAAGTTTTATTTTAATTGGTCCCCTTCGCCGCGTCCCAAATTAAAAGAAAACCAGGAAGTTTCCGTCGCGAACCGACGAAAAGTCGCGCTTCGT